AGACCAACTTGTTGAGAGTTATCATCAGTTTCGATCACGTAGAATAGAAGTCATAACCATTAACTACATTGTATATCAGAGTTTTATATATTTTTTAATAAAAGAATATCAAACTATGAATCAATTGTTTAAAATTATTTCAATTTAATAATTTTGCATTCGAGTTTTAAACATATAAGTGTATTAAATACATGAAAGACAAATTTTATAGTCTATATGATTATGTTTTTCCGAGCAAATATTTTCACGTGAAATGTATTTGTATAAAAAGATAATAAAAGATTGTTGTCTGTGATAAACTTGCTTAAACACAATCCATATATATATACTCGTCTGTATTTCTGCTTCACTTAATTATTTTTATTATGTTACCTTCGATATATTACGAAAAAAATTGAATTTAATAGTTTCTGACAATCATACATTCTCATCAGTCAAAATAATAAAATTTTTAGCTGAACTTTTGCATGCATCAAAATATGAACTTCATAATTTCAAATTACTGTTCTCTTTCGGGGGTAGAAAAGAAGGAGCGCACTACCGTCTACCAGTCTCATTTCAGAAGCCATACTGTTGTCGTGGTCGCCAACTACAAAGTCAAACTTATTTAGTTAATTTTTTTTTTAAAAAAAGAACATTTATTTAAGGAAACAACTATATATAGTCTTTAGCCACAAACACGTGAGAAACCAATGAAAAGAACAGGAACACAACAACCATCTGCATAACCAAAGCGTAGAGAGAGCTAGATAAGATGAAAAGAAAGGGAGCTTACGAGAACCAAGAAGCTGTGAACAGAGGTCCTTGGTCTGCTGAGGAAGATCAAATTCTTATTAACTACGTTCACCTCCATGGAGAAGGAAAATGGGGGCAGATTTCCAGAAGAACTGGTATGTTTTTTTTTGTATGAATATTTTTATTTTTTAACTTATAATAATAAGTGTAATTTAATTACCATAATTATATAAATATATTTTATATATTATAATATAATAACTTAATTTTATTGTCATAAATTTTGTTTTTCACCATTCAACGTAGATTGAAGTTCAAAATAAAATCTAAATTTTAATTATTATTTGTTTATTTTGTTCTGTGATTTTATTCAAATGGTATATTATAATTTATATTATTGCAGGAAAAAGATTTTATTAGAATTTAGAAAATTTTATTCAAATGATCTCTATACATATATATTTGTTATCCAAAGAGTGACATAAACAGTTTGATATAAATATACAGAGGAAAATAAACTTTTTCTAATATAGGATAATAAAACTAGTGTCTACACTATTCCCTTCTCATCCTTATCACATCAAGTTCTTAATATGCCGAATTTTTAAAGATTTAGATACTCTAAAATTATTGAGGAAATTCATGATAATAGTTACAACTCAACTCATTCACTAAAATACCGGTGATAATAAGCACCTTAATATCTTAATATGAATATTTAACCAAAATTAGTGAAAACATATATACTATATATGCATAATTATTTCATTATTAAAGTTTGTTCGATTGTTTAATAACTAACTTATTTTATTAAATTACAAGTTTGTTTAATAGATATAAAAATGTTAATGTATTTTTAAAATAGATTGTTTTAAGTTTTTTTTTACAATTTACAAACTACTAATTTATAATTTAACTTGTATTTATAGGGTTTTTTTCTATTACCCTTTACATTTTAAGATTCATTTTATTTTTTTAGTTTTTTAGTTTTTTTATCTATTATTCTCTATTTCAATTTTATAGAAATAATTAATTATTACTTTACTTTTGGCATTTGGTAAGTTAGTTTTTAATATTTTATGTAATTCAAATAAAAAATATTTTACATTACCGTAACTATTGTTATTCTATGTATGAGAGTATACATGAAAATTATATACAATATGAAAACATGTAAGGAAATTCAATTTAAGAGTAATTTAAATTAAAAAGTCAAGAAATTGAAATTTGTGAAGATAAATGAAAGTTAATTTTGATTAATATTGATTTGATAAACTTATTTAAATAAAATGATTTGTCTAAGAAAATAAATGTACCACTTTTAAAAAATAAATAGAAATAATACAAGTAATTTTTTTAAAGAAATCTAGAATTATAATTTACATAGTAATATATTTTTGTTTAAAAATCATAAACATCATTTATATAATAAAAAATATATACTTGTATGTTTTATATTTAAACATTATTTTATTTGTTTTTTTTAAACACTTATTATGGAATGAATTTGTTTATCAATTACCAACTATTTATAAACTGAAAGAATTTGTAAATAAAAATTCCTTAACAAACTTTTGAGATATTTAAATAACAAATAATCATTAATTCACATCCACGAAGCCTCAAAACTATGGATTCAACCATACTATTTGGACGGTTTTAAGAACAAAAACTTCAATCAAACCAATTAGTTGAAAAAAAAGAGTATTGACCTAGGAGTAACCTCATTCAAAAATATTAAAAAGATAATAAAGAAAGAGAGATGAATCAGAAAGAAAAATATCAAAATAATATAGTAGTGTTTTAAAAATAAAAAAGACAGCAAAAACCCATAAAAGTACAACCTGATTTAATTTTCAATATTCTCTATAAAATTATCAATTAATCTTATATTACAAGTTTATTTTTTTGCTATCGATTCAAAATGTAATTTATATATTTAAAAATATCATTCATTGTGAATTTTAATTATAATGTCATTAGATATTAAAAATATTAATTATTATAAATTTTAAAAATTATACGAAAATAAATATGGTATCTTATACAATGCAAAGTTAAAATACTATAGCTTAATCTAAATTATGGATAATAAACCAATATACTCTCAAAATTTCTAAAAAGAAAGTTGGGAATTCTTTTCAAGATATAATAAAAATAGTCTTTTACAGATTGAATTGGAAAATGAAATGTGAAAAATGAAAACAAACTCAACTGAATAAGAGAAAACATCAAATTAATAATTTATTTCTTTACCTTTTTTTACAGATGTAACAGTTTAGAAGACTTTGAAGGATAGGTCCTAGAAATACTATCCTACAAAACTGGACCCCAATTGAATCGAACTGGTATGATGATTTTTATTCTCAAAGTTTGGGTCAGAACTCCCTTTTGCTCGGGAGACACCACCCTACAAACAAACAACAAACACCATCATCATCATCATCTTCCCTTCGTTTTTCTTTCTTCCTATTTTCAATGACTGGCCGAAAAAATGATGGTGTACAGATCAAACTACACAGGGAGATTCCCTTACAAGATCTTCCTTATAATATTTCCTCAAAGTTATCTCATAATACTGTAATGATAAAGATTATGAGTTTTTCTTGAGAAGAGACCCTGTAAAATCCGATTGGCGAGGGACCCTTTAGTTATAAAATTGTACTGGTAATGATAGCAGGATATGCAGGTTTTGAGCCATCAATGTGGTATGATTTGAGGTTCCATATCATCAAAATTTCTTTACTCCATTTCGTTTCAGTTCGTCATTGTTTTCAGAGCACTGCTGTTCTTACAAAAGAGAGATTTCGCGAAATTCACACTACTAGGTTTGCATGTTATCAAATCGCTATTTAAAATCTATGCTTCTGACAGAAAACATGAATGCTTCGTTGATGTCTGTGACGTTTGTCTCGTCTTATTTTCAGAAGAATGATGTTTTCATACATTTCGAAAAATTACTCAGACAATCCACTTTAATAATGTAATAACATATATTAATATTTTTAGTTAAAAATAAAATAAATACGTCTAAAATATCTTATTTTAAATTGTTACATGGATTTTTTTATTTGGCGGTGTAACTATCACCACTTCCATGTGTCTCCTGTATTTACACTCTTGCGAGATACGAGAAAAATAAGTTAGAAAATGCAATAAAAAAATGAATAAAAATTAAAAATTTAAAATATGTAATTGAGAAAAATAGATAAATGATGAGAAAAATAAATAAAAATAATGTCCTTTGTTCATCACTTTTAAAATTATGTCTGATTTCCCTTCAAAATAATATATATTAATCATTTCTACATATATTTTTGTATATATTTTCTTTAAGTCCATACATCGCATGGCGTTGGCATGTACCAAAATAGATGATGTAAAAAATGGTACATGATATTTATAACTATGAACATGTTTTGATGTATCATTGACATGTGTTGTAAATTTGTCAATTTTGTAATAATAATATTAAGTAGCACTTAAAGCGAATAACATCTTATCACTACGACTATATTAATCAAATTCTCAAACACTTTTAATCATATCTTTTATAGAAGTTATGAAGTATAAAGTTTAATTTGACAATGAGACCAACTTGTTGAGAGTTATCATCAGTTTCGATCACGTAGAATAGAAGTCATAACCATTAACTACATTGTATATCAGAGTTTTATATATTTTTTAATAAAAGAATATCAAACTATGAATCAATTGTTTAAAATTATTTCAATTTAATAATTTTGCATTCGAGTTTTAAACATATAAGTGTATTAAATACATGAAAGACAAATTTTATAGTCTATATGATTATGTTTTTCCGAGCAAATATTTTCACGTGAAATGTATTTGTATAAAAAGATAATAAAAGATTGTTGTCTGTGATAAACTTGCTTAAACACAATCCATATATATATACTCGTCTGTATTTCTGCTTCACTTAATTATTTTTATTATGTTACCTTCGATATATTACGAAAATAATTGAATTTAGTAGTTTCTGACAATCATACATTCTCATCAGTCAAAATAATAAAATTTTTAGCTGAACTTTTGCATGCATCAAAATATGAACTTCATAATTTCAAATTACTGTTCTCTTTCGGGGGTAGAAAAGAAGGAGCGCACTACCGTCTACCAGTCTCATTTCAGAAGCCATACTGTTGTCGTGGTCGCCAACTACAAAGTCAAACTTATTTAGTTAATTTTTTTTTAAAAAAAAGAACATTTATTTAAGGAAACAACTATATATAGTCTTTAGCCACAAACACGTGAGAAACCAATGAAAAGAACAGGAACACAACAACCATCTGCATAACCAAAGCGTAGAGAGAGCTAGATAAGATGAAAAGAAAGGGAGCTTACGAGAACCAAGAAGCTGTGAACAGAGGTCCTTGGTCTGCTGAGGAAGATCAAATTCTTATTAACTACGTTCACCTCCATGGAGAAGGAAAATGGGGGCAGATTTCCAGAAGAACTGGTATGTTTCAAATTGATAACTTGATAGTTTGTTTAGTCTTTTCTTTTTTTCTCTTCCAGTTTTCATTGCATGAACTCGTTACTTGTGAATATGTATATGTATATCGATATTTATATATAGGTGTGTGTGTGTGTAGGTTTAAAACGAGGGGGAAAGAGTTGCAGACTTCGATGGTTGAATTATCTAAAGCCAGATATCAAGAGAGGAAACATTTCTTCTGATGAAGAAGATCTCATTATCAGACTACATAGCCTCCTAGGGAATAGGTACATTGGTTTATAACATTTGCAGAGAATTTTTCCATTTTTGAGACAGTGACAACCTTTTTGATACATGGTATATCTGTTACAGATGGTCGCTTATTGCGGGAAGATTGCCTGGGCGAACAGACAATGAAATCAAGAACTATTGGAATACTTATTTGAGAAAGAAAGTAGAGGAGAAACACAATGATAACAACAAAAACATTCCTGTGGAATTAAGAATGGAATCTTCAAACGCTTTTGGTATTGCTATTGATCCTGCGAAATCTTCTGAAGCAGTAATGTGTACAGAGGTTATGATGGCAACTGAAGCAGTGAATGATTCAGTGAACACAAAGAATTTAATGTCAACAAATTATAATGAAAACCCATTTGCGTCTGTCCCAGCAGATCATCCAGAAGGTTTGGGCAAACAGTTTGATTTAACTGAGCTGTTAATGCCGCAGGAGGGTTGTGATTTCAATGGATATGCTTGTGTTGAAATACCCCCACATTTTGGAGAACACTCCTGCAGAGTTAATGATGCCATGTGTGAAACATGGTACGATGATTGGAAGAATGAAGACTATTTTCCACTAGATTATGATATGGATTTTCCTTTATTTTAATAGTTCATCACAAACCTCACATATAGTGTTTTCGGGTCCTTTTGGTATTGTTATTTAGTCAAAGTTTTAATTTTATCTCACTATTTCATATAACCAGTTATGGTTATTGAGGTAGCTTTTTAACTTTGATTAAAAAGTAGTACAAGAACTTTACCTAGAGTTATATCTAAGTTTTTTTTTTATTATTCATAAATATTCCACAGGAAAATGGAATTTGATGGCAGTGAGTTTTGGTGTGGGTCATTGTGATATATACTATGAGTTGTGTGTCAGTAGGCGGGGAGAATCATATGCTATGCTATGAGGGTTATATTGCAATTTTGAAGAATTGATGTACGAGTTATGAAAACAACAATGAATGATGTTACCGTAAATAGTGTTGTTATATAGATGCATTTTATGTATCCAAACAGGAGGATAGTGTTTAGTCTCACATCAAAATGCGCTCCTATTAGTCCTTTAAAATATCATCATTCAACCATTCACCTCTCTGTCCTCAGTCACATGTGATTATTTTTATTTGTCAGAGAAAGTTAACTACAGAATTTTGATTCCTAGAAAAAATTTTCTATTGTTAAGATAATTTCAAAATACTCTGATTTTAATATATTAAAAATTATTTTAATATACTAAAATCAATATATTTATAAATTACAACAAAAATATAATATAAAAATAATTCAATAAAAAAAATCAAACTCGTTACAAGTTTGGGATGAATTCCATTTTTTCTAATTTTTTTATTTAATAAATTTAATTTATATAATGTATACGAATTGAAATAATTCAAGAATATTTTTATATATATTAGTGAAAATATATTATAATTAAAAATAATAAAATTATTATTATATTAGACAAGTTTGGGTGGAATTTCATTGTTCTTAAATTTTTCATTTTATAAATTTAGTTTATATAATGTATACCAGTTGAAGTAATTCAGGAACCCTTTTATATATACTAATGAAAATACATGATAATAAAAACAATAATTGTATAATTTTATTCTAAATATTTTAATTTATTTTGAAGGTAATTTTATAATTAAAAAATTATTAAGTTTAAAAAAAAGTCAAATTAAAAAAAATTGTTTAAATTTTTTAAAAAATAGATACTTAAAAAATAAAATTGATAAAATAATTATTTTAATTTTAAAAACAAAATATTCAAAAATTAAAATTAAAAAACAAATATGATATTAAAAAATATAATTCCGTCTATATATATATATATATATATATATAT